GATTCAAATCATAAGATTATAATACCAAAAGAATAGCCAGTAAACACTGGAATGACCCTCTGGTAAATCAACGAGACGTGCGATCCCTCCCTGCTCCCAGTAGGGAGGTAAATCCTCTCTGACCTCACCAGACGTCATGAGAGGGTTTACCGTGCAAATACTGCTCAGAGGTAATACTCCTGAGAGGGTTACTGCTCATGTGGTCATGTTGACAGAAAATGAAGGATTACGCTATGTGAGTTCTCGGTTTTAATTTGGTTTAAGGAATGTTATTGTTTAAATGCTCAATTTCTCGTAACGCTTTGGGAAGGTAATAAAGCTTATTTCTTCATAGAGGCTAATAAATCTTTCTGAAATTGTCAGTGATTTAATGGAATCGTAAGCGTATGATTGAAACGTAAATTTTGATTTGCTTCATTACGTGTATCTAAAACGTTATTAGCAAAAAGCCTATCAGAGGGTGGACCACTATGTTACTCTAGTTGCAAAAAGATCAATTATAATGTTACTTGACAACTTTTCTTTCTATTACCTTTAAAAGTTACGAGTATTTGTACAGATTATTGTAAGTCAGTATTGACTGCAAGTGCCTGCAGTATTAACGTTAGCAAACAGTTGCGGTTGATCGATTGTATGCGGGTTTAACTTAACCAACTACATAGTTGGTAACTTGGACCAACTTACTGCTCACTGCTATTTGTTTTAGATAAACAAACTTGTATTGATTATTCGATGTCACTGTTCTTGATAAAACGATTTATAAGTAGTACATTAGATTAACTATATATTAGGTATGTATGGCGTCGGCGACGGCCGCAGTTGTTGGTGGTACCAACAGCCCGCACCGAGCTTCTAAAGCAAGCTCCGATGACACGCGCGATACGCACCTTAAATGCAATAGCGGAGCAGATCGATTTGTTTCACTGTTCGGTGAGTGACTTCACAAGGGTAGCGTATTCGGTGATATGTTATTAATGTTATTAGGATAATTTAGTTTTGTTGTTTCGTTTTAATTATATATATTTTATGTCCTTGTATGTATGTTTGGTCTAAGGATACTGCTGTTATTAACTTTGTTTGCATGTTTTGTTTAATGTAAGTAGCTTCTCTGTCACATTAGGTTAAACCTGTAATGATAGATGTAAGTGTGATAATAAATAATAAAAATAATAATAACTATCAAAATCAATTTATTACCACAAAAACCTTTTCATTTTGATAAATAACCATTCCATATAGCTTTCAGTTCTCATATTTTTTAATACAAATATCAAAAATAGAACACATATCCTATTAATAACACTTACACCTTCCCATTTCATCTTAGCATTGTACGCCAAAATAAATCAATTTGAATTACTATCAAATGTCTCATCAACGCCTGTAAGAAATTATGTTTTAAATGTATCCTACAGCAACACATTGCTGTTATAATTACTTCAGGCGCTTTAATATGAACACCAGACTAATTTAATCATTTAATCATAAGCCAGTTATTTGGTGAGTCTAGCTTAGAAATATGAATGGCTATTGTGTAACTGAGAAATTATGTTAGTGTTGCAGATTGGGTTAGGTCTCGCAGCGGTCTAGTTTATCTAGGATTGGTAAATTACTGGCGGGTGGCTGTCGTTGTGGGTACATCTGGTGTATGTCTGGTGTACATTAGGCAGAAACTACTTTATTTGGTTAAGTGACTATAATAATATGCGACTACCTTCCATGAGATATTGTTAGACAATTAATACAGAAGTATTAGGTACCAGTTGCATAATAAGTATGTTATTATCATTGCCATGGTATAGTCTTCATAACATCAGTTTGTTCTCGATTTCTTTTCATTTTAAAATACTGTCTCGTTGACCGAGTGGTCGTGCGACTGCCGGATAAGGGGTCTTGGGTTCGATTTCCGGGTCGGGATGAGTAATACAGGGTTTTTGAAAAAAAAATCAGCATCATTAGCACGGAGTCAGGAATTGTGTGGTATAAGGCAATATACTCAGCCCCTATTATATCAGAATCATAACATAAATTATGAAAATGTGGGTGTTCTTTGTAAAGTAGCATTAACTCGTCGAGTACCGGTTTTGTAGACACAATTATAGAACAATAGGTTGCGGTCACCGGTGACCGCTTGGTGTTTGACAGTTTAAGTGCCGTAATGAGCACTTCTGCCTACCCCTTCGGGGATAAAAAGCTTGATGTTATGATCATCATTATTTAATATACTCTCCAGTGGTTAGTTCAGTATACTTCTACTTATCGCTTAGAATATAATATTGTATATTAATTGAATTAGTTTGAACCAAACAGACCAATATCAAAGCCTCTTCCTGCGGTGAAACCTAAATAACCGAGTAAGGTAGGTACGTGGTCAGTGGTTCCAAGCTCGGAGCTTAATATTCAGCAATGCGGTTAAATCATTTATATTGCAATTGGTAATTGGTTAAATTAATAATTATGATTTCATGCTTGCACGCTTTTTGTTTGAAGTTGTGAAATTTAAGTGTGGGAAAGCTACATATGCTTCGGTACGAATGGGACGAAAGTAACGTTATACGTTCCTTTTTTTTATTTACACTTTTTGCACAATTGCGGACTTAATGCCTAGTCGTATTCTCTAACAGTCAACCTTTGGGCTCGGTGCCAACGCAGCGGTAAGTCCCCTCTTTGAGGAGTGGCTTGAGAGACGCTACGGCGTCTTCACCTACCGCCTGACGCAGGTCCTCACCGGACATGGAAGTGAAGTTTCGGGAGGTACCCGTGTCTGATGGGGCGGGAGGAAACGCCCGGGTGTCATTACTGCGAGGACCGCCCTGAGGAGACGGTGGAACACACAGTGGGAGAATGCCCTGCGTAGGCTGAGCACCGCCGTGCCCTCAGGGAAGTGATCGGCGATGGCGACCTCTCGCGTCCGGGTCTAGTGCAGGCCATGATGCGGATGCCGTCTCCTCCTTTTGCGAAGCAGTCATGCTCGCTAAGGAGGAGGCGGGACGCGTGAGGCAGCGAAGAGCTGCCTCCTCGCAACCCAGCCATCGCGAAGGACACACCGGGCGTCGGGGATCGCGGGACGATCTCCGGCCACCGTAAGCGCGGGCCTGCGGACGGCGAGCATGAGTGGCTCCCCGTCCGACCAGAAACAGACCCGAGCGTACGGCGCGTCGCGTTCCGCGCGCGCCTCAAAGAGCCATCAGACCACCACAGATGGGGCCCAATAGGGCCGATGCCGATTCGGAGCCGCGGAGAACCTAACGGGTAACCGGGGCTCCGGCTCGACGTGCAGGAGAAGGAACGGGGTGGTTTTTTTATAAATAAATCAATAAATAGAAGAACGTGGTGTCTATTTTTCTCTTTTAACATGCGATTTTGTCTTCGAAGGATTTATGAGTGTTGAATGTTACACCTTGTCCTCACTAGGCATCACTGCCTAAACTAACGGTTGACGCTAAACTCACGTTTGCGAGTTCAATTTAACAAAGAATCCAATACCTAATACTTTGTCAAAATAAAAACCGAACCAATGTCGTCCAACGAAACATTACGATACATTTTACCATTTTAAATTAAAACTACAGAACTATATCTCAATTATCAAGTCTTTACTTATAACTTTTTAAGAAACTAACAAAACACACGTCTAGTCTTGGTCTAGAATAGCAAGTTCAACGAGAAATTCTAACAAAATGGAGAACAATAGTTAGGAATGTTCTCTAGAACAGATTGTGCGGAGCTCGACCCGCGGCCATTGTGCCAACTAGACAACATCTGAATGAACAACTCCGGGGGAAATTACATTTACTTCGTGCAAGATGAAAGATTTGAAGAAACTACATGCTACCTACTTGTTTCTTTGTTATATTTATTTAGTTCCTTTTTGGGAGATTGCGAAAGCCAAATAATGGATAAAGATACACAGTAGGCACATACATTCTTATATTGATACTTGTCCTGACTGGATACCCAAGATCTTTTAACTTCATGCATAAGGAAATTAGATTCATAATTTTGTGTCATTAAATTGATTAAAATATACCTATAGGTTACTACATGACTGAACCGCGTATTCACTTTAAACCAATCTGCGCATGAATATGGGTCCCGGTGGTACTTGAGACTAGTAGAACTCCATTACCAATAGTAAGTTAGTCGTACTAATAAAATATGCATGTGCACTCTGTGCAGTTACAAAACTTCAGATAAGTTCAAATAAATAATAACACACAACAACTACACCCAAACAAAACCACGAAAAAGAAAAAACCAAACAACAAATTTTCAAAATGTAATATTGTATCAGTGCGGGCCTTTCCAACCTAAATCCAATTACGTTATTGGCAGGAAATATTGAATGTAATCTTTGTTTAAAATTGTCCGCCGTCCGGCCAACAGCGCCCGCCGCGCGGTCTGCAAATATTGGTGAAGTCGGCTCGCTCGGTCAACCGATGCAATTGATTTTTCGTTCCTCTATCTTTTGGTTAACTGTGCCATGTTGGAAATTGGCGAACAATGCAATCAGTAGCTGCACTTTGGATATTTTCTGGAATACTGGTTTAGTCTTCCAATGTGCGGGAGCACAAACAGGAAGCGTTTTCTTTTTAGATTACTCTTCATCAGCTGTTTGTCTATTCAGTGCCTTTAGCCAAACGCCACTTTAGCGCTTGTCTACAGAGAGAGTAAAAAACTAAATGTATGGGGATGACACTGACAAGTGTCAAAATTCGGTTTTCTATTCTATATGTAGACAAGCGCTAAATGGCATCTGGCTACAGCTATAGTTTACGGTTATTTGGGGGGTTTAGGAGCAGTTATTCCTTATTCTCTTCTTTTCTTTAAACATGTTCCCCTGTTTATTTAACACTAACTGGTCACCTTTATTTATACGTTTCATTATAAAAGTAAAAAAATATAAGTATCAATCAAAAATACAACCAAATGAAAATAGATTGTCCTTCGAGTAAATTCCCATATCATATGAAAATAATTAAATAAGATTATAATCATACCTGCTGATGATTATTATCCTGCTTCTCGCTGCTTTCAGAATTCGTAGAGCCAGTGTGCTTCTTACAGAAGGTGGGGCAGTAGCGACGACACAAACATCTGCGGAGAAGGGGACCAGGATTAATAGTATGAAGGACCCTATGTAATATGTGTATACAGTACAATGATGACGTACGATAGTAATATATAAAGGTATTGTTGAAACGATGGATCATGTTTTGTTCATGTGTGAATGCATGCATGTGTTTTGTAGTTATTCTTTTTTTAGTAACAAGTTTCAATCATTTGATTTGATTCATATGTTTTGTGTTTCAAACCAACCCGATGAGTAAAGTATCTATCTGTGTATCATTAAAGAGTAAAAAGGGTGATAGTGTAACCAACGTGTTTTACACCAAAGATAAATAACCAAGGACACCAACACAATACAGAACCTAATAATCTAGGTCCTAGAAAAGACGTATGTCACGAACATACGACTAACTTATATAACCACGTCCATTGCCTGACAAATACCTAAACGGCGCACAATGACTAAGTGGGTACACTGTATCCTGCCCACGAAGTCCTTTGTGTCCAACGTTGGGAGTAAATTAACAAGAATATAATAGCATCAACAACATCCCGTCGATAAAGCAAAGGCTACAAGGTTGGCGTCCAAATTATTATTAAAGGTATAGTTAGTTTACTTTGCCTGTAACAAGGTTAAGTGTCGTCGAGCGGGTAGGAATGGATTTTTGGTTGGTTTAATGCTATTGTTTTTGGCGTTTGGTCTGCCTTTTCATTGTTTTTATGGTGTATTAAGTAAACACTGAAATGTGTACATTAAAGTTCTGCTAACCTAAACTAATAGATTGGACGTCAAAAATTAAATACATTGTTCGAATTGCTATTGATAAGCACTTTTAATTTAACTGCAGCTTTAAGACTTATCAATTGATTTTTTAAGAAAACTGACAGGATAACTTTTGAAGTTAACCATTATATACATTAATTATGAACCATATTATTTTAAAATTAAAATCAACTACCCATATATTTCAAAGCATATCTACTTTGACTCTCTCTTTTCTACTATTGATGTGAAGAACTAGGAGTTTCTCAAAAAATATCTTAGCTCTAGCTACCAAATGAAAATACGAAATTTCTTTTCAGTATTTTTCAAAGAGTTTGTCTAGTTTTCTGTTCAGTGTATGAAGGCAGGTATTAGGGAGAGCAGATAGAATTCAATAAACAGTTTGGCGTCGCTCCAACGTCGGCCACTGAATATATTTTAAAGCGACTTAATTTTACTTCGGGGGCTGAGGACAGTTTTGGCTGAGACCAATTTAGGGGTAAAGAAAATTGGTCCAGACACTTTTCTATTAGTTGGTGTTAAGTTAGAATGTTTACGAGATTCTGTAGGGAAGATTTTCTTGTAATAAGATTAAAAGAAGACGGGTAAATCTCTTGGGGATGAAAAAGAGTAATCAACTGTTAGCTAATAAGCTAACAAGTTTGTATTGTGTCATCATAATATATCATGTAATGTGTCAGTGTTTGTTTTCCCAAGTAAATGAAATAAAAATAAGTTAATTTGAAACTACTGTTAACATAAACTACAGTTGGATACTTCTTAATCAGCGCCTATCATCGTATCTGCTACGTTCACATACTTACATACGCATAAGCAGAATAGACATTACACATCCTATTTAGAGACTTCTCAAAACGACTTAACCAAATCACCCAAACACCTACAATACTTAAAATCTAATAAATCCACAACCTTTTAAAAAGGTTTCGTACCTTGATAATTTTATTGAGATGAGGCTACCCTAGCGAGGTCGTTACTAAAGAAACATACGCTTCCTGGCCCGGGATAATGGCGCCCAGCGTGGGACACAATAACACACTTACAAAATCAACCACTCGTAAGGTCCGGTATGCAAACATTCTTTGTTCAGCTCCATGTTAAAATGTGAAATTATGAACAAACAGCCCTTGTTTGTAATAATTATAATTTGAAGGACAAAACACGTTTATAGCTTGTAATAAATTGTATTATTTATAATATTTTAAATTAATTAACTCAAGTCTATTAATGAAAGTAGAACACTTTTAATCAAATAAATATTACTTGTTTGTATTAAATTAATAAACAAATTATCTTTGTAGGTAGGTCTTCGTTTTAAAGCTAATAAAGAATGTGTTATGAACCTGCGTTTGCATCAAAATTTACGTAAATGGTGTCCCACTTTGGGCGCCATTAGACAATAGTGGCGCCCAACGTGGGTCACATTGTAACCTCAAAGAAAACACTCTACTTTAATAATAGAATGAACAACAACAGTAAACACAACACAAGTGACATCAATAGCTACTCTTATCAGGAATAATGGTAACTAACCCCGTTAAAAACATTGTCTTTTTTGTTATTGAACCATTCACGTAGTGGGTGGAATGTAGGCGTACTTGAGGACATTTATCTGTATCACATTATTTCAGTATTACTTGTGTTGTACACTAAATACCGCTTAATACGTAAACACGTGTTTAAATAACACAAACGTGTTCAGAAAATAACTAATTTATGTGGAACAAACTCAAGATTCGACAAGATTCGACAAAGACAAGACATGCAAGTTTAAATAATGAATCCAGAAGTCAAAATCAATATAAATATAATCCATGAATACACATTACTTTAAACCTTAATCTGGTATATTCTTCTTTGTTATGTAAATATCACAACATTATTCAACTTGGTATAAACGAAAACACACATAATTAAAAAAACAATGCACAATAATTTCGTCTGAATTGTGTTTCAAAGCAATACATTTAACACAATAAGAGCAAATGGAGTTCAAGAAACATAATTAACGGGACGGGTCAGAGCTTATTGAGTTTCCATAAACCGTGCACGGAGCGAGTTAGAACGGTGTCGTGTGTTGTAATAAATATACGGATGACTTTTAGAGCAAAAGTTTTGTTTTATAACTTATTATATATGAGTAAAAGTAAAAAAATATTATGATACTATTGCAGAGAAGAAAATTATAACGTACTCTGACACCTTTTAGCAATTTTTTTTTAATGAGATAAGCTGGTCAATGTGCAAACGGATCACTTGAGGCATCAGAGGCGATATAAATGCGTTACCGGCCTTTTGAGGATTAGGAATTTGGAACAATATTAAGGGATTAGGGAAATTATTTTTAACCATTTTAGGATCTTGTCACACTTAACGCCTGATCAATAATTTTTCTTCAGATTCAAACAAGTTATGAAGCACACAAAAATTTGATCTAACCCGCGCCATTGTGTTAACTGACGTTTTGATAACTCCCCAATACATGACTTTGCAAAATGACTGAAACTGACATTAATTGCTCTACCTAATGAGCAACACTCAAACCTTTAGCTGACGCAGCGTTCTACATACACCAATAAACATCTACATGTCGAGGCAAATTGCTAGTTATATATCACAGGGAATTTGACTATTTTACACTTAAATATCTATAGTTATACAAGTTATTTGGTATGCAGGTAAGGAAATGACGATTTAGCCTGTACCGAAACAGTAGCTATTGCCATTATCGTCTTTACCATAATAAGAGTACTCGGAGCCCGTGCCCAGGGCTCCCTATGCTAAGGGGACCTCGAAGGACCAACGATTTCTACGACAGATACACACACAAGTACAAGACAGTACACTACAAGTTGCGCAGCTATTACCGCATGGAGAAAATCTTTGTGTGATCCACAAACTGTTGTTTCAGGTCTGAGAGTGACATGGATGTGACCTTGTATATTTGTAAACGTAGCCGCAATACACGAGAAAATTCTATTGTGGGGCATCGTTAAAAAAACAACAAAGCATGACAAAAGGGCCCCGATTTATTCTGTTTCCAAGGCCCTAGCGAAGTCTAAGACGGCCCTGGCTATTGCAAAACTAAAATTAATTATTTTAATAAAGTTTTACAATATCACTATCGAAGTGATACCACGACCTCACAGAAAACTGACATGAAACAACGCTTGCGTTGCGTTTCGTCGTGTAAGTGAAAACAATAAGCAATTCTAGTTAACTACAAAATGTGGTATAATTAAGAAGCTCGTGTTACCTCATATTTCATGTTTCAGTAAACTGTAATTAAAATTAAACATTTTGGAAGTATCTACTCTTGTACTCCCGGTGATATATGAAGCTAAGAAAACCATTATAACCTAACCGTTAAATGTACAGAAAGGTCTTACAACGAGAGACCCTGATAATCTGTTTTTTTTAGCTGGATGTGCAGGCGTGGGTGGTTTTACTTAGGTTAGATTAGTCTGCTCTATGCAAACATTTGTCGGCTAATTGTTATTATTTGTGACTCTCTTGGATTCGCACTTAAATCTATTTATTGAATTTAATAGTTGTTGTTAACTATTTCTTTGTTAAGTGTATTTGTATTTAGTTTTATGTTGTTGTAGATGTTGTCATCCATATCCCGCTGTGATGTTACACCCACAACCTGCCTTTTTGATTTAAAAAGCCTAAAATAGGTCTGATTTAAAAGTGCTCATAATACCTTACAAATAGGAAATAAAATGAACGAACGAATGTACAAAAAGAACAATAAAAATACATATACGCACATACAGAATACAGATATTGTACCGTATAATAGAGGGAAGAAAATATTAGATCATAATATCCCCTTTCAACGTACGACTTATGACAAATACGAGGCATTACTTAACAACCTGTCAATACCCATCGGTAGACGAATATCAGAGCCTTTTCACATACAAACGAAATACAACCTTTCTTCACAAGTATACGGTGCAATATCCGTTGAATATTAAAAATATGAACGTATAATATGAGGGTACTTGCGATTCTTACGAATAGTTATTGGATTTGTCAAGTGGTCGCCGTACTTTTTCATTTTATTTTTGTGTTTCGTTATGAGCGGTCGTGTGTAGCGTCGCAGCACTCACAGTTATATATTTTTAAGCCTCGCATTCAAGTTTTTTGCAGTGGTTGGAATATTAAAAATGTTTTGAATGTATTTTTTAAACTGTTTCATTTTGTTTGACAAAGCTGCTTAGTTTCGTTTGTGAGTGAACGTGTTGGGTGTTGTTTTAGTAACTGTTACTGTGGCATTTAGTTTGTGTTTTCGTTTTGTTCGGCCGTTGTTTCTGTTTTAGTTCGCTGTTTATTTATTTAAGCAGAGTAAATGTGTACAATTTTTCATTAATGAGATATGGCGACTGGTGTTGGTTTATTCATAAGATTATTATATTAATTTTACAATATGAACTAAATATCGAATGAAAAACATAGTGTAAATAAGAACTTACGTTTAAAATAGGTTTTTGATTTTTATATTGTGGTTAAGACGTATTTTACCTGATCAATTTCTTGTTTCTTTATATATATAAATACTTTTTTAACTATTTATTGAGATCTCTCACCTGATGAGCAGTGTAGCGAAGAGCACAGCCAGCAGCGGCAGCAGGGTCCCGAAGCAGGCCAAGAACAGGGTCTGCACGTCTGAGTAGCCTGAGAACACAGACAAAACTGCGACAGTTCACATGACAGGCTAGCTTAATGTAATACTTAGGAGGTACAGACAGAATAACAGATCTAGTTTCTAGATACTCTTCAACCCTTAGAGTACCACGTCAGTCACCGATGCCCGACTCTAGTGGAAACGAGGCAGTTAACGTGTTAACTGACTCTATCTCGTTGATCGAGTGACTACAGGAAGGCGCATCGGGTTCGATTCCTAGTTCAGATAAAGTATTAGTATGCATTTTATTTTTTTTCGAAAGTTTATAAAAATCATACATAGTCTAAAACTATATTCATAGCTGATGAAAAGTGAAAGAAAAGTGATTGTAAATATATTTACACCTCTGCTACCCCTTCAAGGAAACAAAAGCGTGACATTATACCATATTATAAGTAAACTCCATTCTAAATAGTGGCGAAAATGCAACGTACATTTATTACTAGAATTCGCTTGAAATTCAACATTTTGGACCAAAACTGTGATATGTATAATATGTAAAATGGGATTTCAACATTTTGAGGCATCGAGGCATGTGAAATGCTTTTGCCTATGCTCGCATGGGCCACTCCATCAATCCTGATTGGCATGTTTTGAATAGACATATAGAACGGACGAATATAACTAGTATATTTTACTAAAAGCTGCTACAGTTACAGTTGGCCAGATTTCAGTAACTGTATTCGAGAGCTGAAAGTTCTGTCTATTAAATGTATTGCTCATTGCAAAGCAAATATATATTTTGTGAAACTAGAATTTAATAATGCTACAATACTGTCGATAAAATACGTAATTTCTTCAATAGGATAGTGTTTTAAATTTTGTTGTAATGTTCGTCTGGTAGATTATGTTCAAATATCTGAGATTTTTTTTTATATTCATAAAAAATTTAATCCTTTCGATATATATCGATATCGATAATTATTATAATATTGATTTTAAATATCATATGACGTTACGAGTTGCTTTGTTTTACATGAACGTGTGACGCAGCGACCTTCCGCTCCTAAACTTAAACTCACATTCAAAGTATTGATTTCTTGTATGACAAAATACGTGTCTAATATTTTTTCATTAACTTACCGACGGACTACCTAATAAGAATAATTTTCATAACGTGGCAACAACTCAATTCGCTTCCCATACTATAAGGTATAATATTATAACATAGTATATTGTAGCATTTCACTTTTAAACGCAAGATATTCAAATTCATCTCGAAACAAATGCTCACAAGTAAGGCAAAATAAACTTCAATGAAGACTTACAAAATAATCATAATATTATCCTTCAGGTGCTCGATGTATTTTAATAAACTTACACAAATTGCTCCGAAACTTAGAAACACATTGAAGGGAAACTCTAATGTCTGTAATAAAAAGTTCTGCGATATAAAGTTCGGAAATAATGTTCGAGGCAATATACGAAATTACCGAAACGAGGGTAGATCGTATATATTCACTAACACCTCAAACTCTGTCAATTAGCCAGTATCAGTTCGACTGTACACGTGGGCAGACGTTTTCCAACCCGGCAGTATCATAAGACATTCATTTATTTCATTAAAATATGAATAATAAATGTTCATGTGACAATTTGATGAGCAATTGTTGAGAAATTGTAAATGGAAAATTTTTATTTTGGAACCGACTACCAATTTATGATTTTATCCTTACTAATATTATAAATCGGAAAGTGAATTTGTTTGTTCCGCTTTCACGCCGTAACTACTAAACCGATTGCTTTGAATTTATGCAGACGTAAAGTTATAAGTCTGGATTAAATAATGAGGTACTTTTATCCCGGAAAAATTTGATATTCTAGAGGGAAAACGAAATTATTGGTATAGATGGCGCTGTGTGTATTGGTATATGTCACATAGGCTACTTTTATCATTTTGTGACGCGAGCGAAGCCTCGGGTAAAAGCTAGCAGCCAATAATTAATTTCTCTCTACCATCTTCTACAGCGTTAACCAAATTAAAATCTCCATCAAAAATCTTTTTGATACTTTGTTTCTTTTATAAAACAGTGTATGAGGAAGTAATTTATTTATTCGCTAAAAGGTTTTGTACAGCGAAGCGGAGTTGCAGTGCAACCGAGCAAACGAACAGATATGTGGGTACATAGACTTTTACTGTATAATTTGTGTTAAAAGCACCTCTTGCTAAACCCAGTCGTGTTGAAATACGATGCAGTGTTGAAACTAAAATTATGTACATTTAAATTTACATTTCGTACAAATATAATTACTGTCGGAAATTTTGAAATACGAGTAATATTTTTGGATGGTAATAGTTTAAGTTTGCTAATTGTTTATTGGTCCCACAATGGGCGCCAATTACGGAAATGGCACCCTAATGTGGTACTGCAACAGAATAACTGAAAATATTTAAATATATTTACATACTTGTATTTTATCAAGAAATACCTATTGAATTTGTTATTTGTCATTAAGTATATGTAGATAGATAAAGTTCACAACGTAAAAATAATAGCAAAATAAAATTATAGTAAGTTTCATATAGCAGATGACCAAAGTCCACCATTAAAGAGGTACACGCTTCAAATAAGTCAATTTCCGATGTTCTTTGAACCAAACATTCTAAACCTGGGCAGGCTTCCAATTGGCACCCACCGTGGGACCAGTCTATCTTGCCGCTGCTGAAAATCTCGACGCTATTTCGTTACAAGCATTGACTTTACGTGACCCAACTACCAATTAATCGGTTGAAGAATTAGCCAATAATAAGCCGCTATGAAATTGTATTACTGATTCTTTTTGCTTGGGCCGAATTTATTCGGTTCACTTCTGGTGGTTATGTACGAAGATTTTAATAGTATGTTGTAGTATTATAATAATATTATATTGAACGTTTTGTAATTAATTTGGTAGTCACAAATATAAGTCGTTAACACCTAGGTGTGATAATAGATAATTATTCACAAAAAAACGTTTTTCGCACATAAACGGTTTACGGTTTGAATTCATTTATTTCTAAAAGATTACAAATCACTTGTACGGAAATAAATACTAAAACTAATTTTTCATTTGTTGTTTGTCCAGGAGTAACTAGGGTTGTGATAGCGATAACAATTTTATGATTTTAACATTAATATAATAATATATAAAGACAAAGTAAATAAGTATGGATGTATTCGTTAAAATATTTAATGACAAATATCTTACGGCCTACCGCCTTGCACTGCATTGATGCAGCCTTCCACGCGGTGTCGTCATATGTTAGTAGAAATCTTTTGTTTGAAAGTTACCAGAGAAAAATTTAAAGATGCTTTTAGAAATTAAAAATCCCTTAAAATTAATCCTTTCGTCCAATAAGAGTCATCAGAACAATTAATATAAAAAGCGTCATGACAAAACAATTCGCTGAGAACAGACTGCAACAATAGCTACCTAATCACCCAAACCAAACAGATTTAATTGACACGAACAAAGCAGACAGCTTGTGAATATCAACTCAATGAACAAACGGACGATCATTTGTTCTCTCTATTTATTTAATTTATAATTCCTCAACAATACAAACACTCATCCATTATTGGGGAATCACATCATAAATGAAAATGGTCCAAGTGATTTTGATCCTTATTTTTGAGAGAAATGTATCAAAAGTAGTGCGAATTTTGTGTCCAATTTTACCAAATACATTTTTGAGTCTGTCAAATTATTTACAGAAAATGTTTAATATAGTTTGAACTTTACTTTTGATTAATTATCAATACTTCACCTTAACTGGCAATGAACCAAATATTAAAAATTCTTATTACTTTACAAAGAAAGAAAGCATTTATTATGAATCAGGCATTAAACATATGTTTAAAATAAACCAAGATAAATAGAACATACATAACATCACGCCTTTTTATCCCCGAAGGCGTAGGCAGGGGAGACATTTCCAGACTCTGGGTACTACTGAGATTTTTAAAATACCCAGTAATACTTTGGCCGACTTGAGAATCGAACCCGAGACCCCTTGCCCGGCAGTCGCACTTGCGACCCTTCAGCCAATGAGGCAGTCAAGATAAATAGACTTAATTGAAATCATTCAACATTGTAAGTATTTAGAAATAGATATTATACTAAGTTGAAATAAATCAGTTTTCAAACACGTCTTCTACACCCATACTTCTTTATCCCCGCCCTCCGCTTTTAACACGCACCATACGGCTACCGTGGACCCTCGGGGCCTGAATACAAATTCGCGCTGAGCAACAAGCCTACTCTATAAATTTTCAAAAAGGCTCGCTAATTTGTCAAAAAAAAGGTGCACGATACAAAGTGAGATGTAGCAAGGCGTAACGAGGTGAACAATACTGCCTACCCTCTTTGAGTTACGTCGCAATGTATTCAGAATCTCGAATAGGAGGAAACGAATTCTTTCTTGCTTGTCGTATTGAGTACTGCTATTTAAGATGACAAAAACCGAGTGCTATACGTGCACCTCTTGCATTAAATGGCATTAATTGTAAGTATATATAATAGTGACTAATTATGTCGGAAATGCCTAATAACTACGTATCACCTTCGAAAGTAAATGTCATATTTCCTATACCCACTCTTCAAGATAATTATAATACAGTCAGAACCTATTATCGGATACCAACCACATTTCTTTGATATAAAAATTCGTACTCATATCTGTGAATGGACCCAAAACTTCGTCTTCGGAAGTCACACTTTAATACTCCACAAATGAGGCAGTCAATCGAATAAAGTCCTCGAATGAAATAAGGATAAAAGAAAAAATCTGTTATCAAACCATTCGGTACTTAATTTTTTTGCGATAAAATGAACGCTTGTTTGAATCGGAAGTGATAAAGTACGCTTCTCAACTTTTGATTAAGGAAAGGACGAAATCCACTCATTTTAATGGTAAGAAAATTCTCATAAACCATTCCTTGTAAAACTGGTCTAAGTGAAACGAAATGTTCAAAATCCAAGGTTATACTTAAACAAAACAGAATTGAGCCAAGAAAAGTTTATAATACTGAGAATTTCAGTGCCTCGGTACTCGGTATCCGAGTTTAAAACACTGAATAAAATCTTGCTCAAGACATCATAAAGTTACAAATTATAATCGCTATTCTAAAAGATAATAAAATCTATACCTATTTGGCACTATTATTCAACTCAAGGAAACTCATAACTCTAAATGTAAATACACTATAAAATATAGAGGTACTATCAACTTAGATAATAGCTCAGGTGCACACAAGCAAGATAACAACCCCAGTCCTATGATCCGGTTCAATGACTCCATTCGAAGCTCCTTAATTATTAATTTACCGTCTAGGGACCGGCCAGGTAGCCTCAAAGATAATCATGCATAATACATGGCATGTCACCTTTATTACGAAAGCAGTAAAGCTGATTTTAATTTGCAGTTTTCTCTAGTGTGTCTATTCACAGTGAAAGTACTTACAAGTATATTTTATTCATTTTTCACAAATGGGTGAATGAAAGTTTTGTATTTATAGGATCAGATTGATACTAGGATTATCACAAATACAGATGTGACACTATAGTCAGTTTTGGTTTAAGCTGGTGCTTGTTGCTCTGACTATTTAATCGTACATATGTTATGTACGATATGATGTTATGTTAACATGACTGCACGGTTGATGCGGTGGCTGGGCAACCGGCTGCCGTGCAACGTGTCGCGGGTTCGATTCCCGCACGGAACAACACTTTGTGTGATCCACAAATTGTTGTTTCGGGTCTGGGTGTCATTGTGTATGTGAACTTGTATGTTTGTAAACGCACCCACGATACAGGAGAAAATCCTAATGTGGGGCAACGTTTTTTAAAAAAAAAAAAATAAAAATACATCACGGCTCTAATAAGAGATCATTGAATACAAGGGGTAGGTAAAGGTGAACATAATTATGGAATGTAATATCCTCTTTCCGTCCTTATAAGACAAGTCTAATTACTCTCCTTAAACTTTTCAAAAACTGCTAATACCAAGTCTTAGAAAAATCGCGACATATCTGAATACTCACTCGTATCAGGCGCCAGATCATTATCCACTTCATGTCCAGTAATGTTCATCATCAGCGCACTCTTGTTATCCCTGGATGGCTTGACCACCTCCACCAGCTCCACATAATCCACCTTTTTCAGCACATCACTACTGTTCCTATCTCTGTCTATCTCACTAACACTTCTATTTAAAAAGTCACTCTCGTTTATTTTGGCTGCTATCAGAAATTCAAACTTTGGCATGTCTTCCGCGAACTCTGATTCTGGTCTAAAAAGTATATCAGTGATTGTGTCTTCTCTGTCAGTTTCTGAATTTATAATATCATCTAGCAGACTACTTGATATGTTCATTTGTTTTTCGACAGCTCTATCTTCTCCGTTTGGTATTTCCATGGTCTTTGTTTGGTCTCTCATCACCTTTTTTGATAGGTCTTCGTCTCTGCCTTGTTCAGCGTTCATAAGACCTTCGAGTTCTGATTTGGATGTTCTGTCCGTCTCTCTGATTTCTTCATCTGTCTCTTCAGCTACGATGAGGGTATCAGAATTGGGATCGATGGGTAAATTGAAAGTGTTATTGTTACCAAACTTTAAGACAATATCCGTGGTGTTCATATCGGAGTACGGTCGTGCGTGGACTATGTCAGCTGTCAGCAAGGCGTTTAGAAGGAAGAACATGAGTTTTAATTTAACGTTAGTCATTTTTTCTTTGACTATGGGTTCATTATTATAATTTAGCGTCAGTTCATTGTTGATGGGTCTTCAGTGGCTGCTGGTGGACATCTGCGAACAAAAACAATGCAATATTAAACGTTTAACCTTCTCAATTAATATCTGATGGTGATAATATAATGGCGGGTCAATTAAATTTTCACATGGACGCTCAGTGATTGGATCGATTGGTGAAATTTTATTGTTATTGGTCATACAATAGTTGAATGGCATTTTAAATCAATTTTATTTTCTTTTTGTTTGCGAAATATATAAATAGACAAGCTTGTTATTTACAGTGACAGTAATTATTATAATTTACATATGTATTTCTGTAATAATAGGTACTTCTAAGATTCTATAAAATATATCTATCAAAAAGAATCACAGGCTTCATTTCGTTATTCTGCCTACAGGAACACTACCTGCAACTTTCCTAAGAAAAACATTTTTCTGTATCCATGTGTTGCGAACATTCATTTTTATGTACAGAGAAACGACCTTAATACCAAATTCTGACCAATTTGTACACACAGACCCCATGGTACACAGCCTATGACCATGGTAATAAGCTAATATAACAACATACACTAGCAGTAAGCAGTAACCAGCTAACTAAACGATGTGATTGTAACCGTCGAGCCGTTCAGTTAACCCTGCCTGTTGACCCACTTCTGTGCAAACTATGTAACGATGCGTTTAACTAGCGATAGTTGCCGACAACTGAAGCTGTGACCCTGATAGGTAAGACTATCGTTTTGTTAATATATAGAAAAGAGAATCATTCAATTAGGTATTTAGTAAATAATCTGAATTTGAAATATGTCTTGAACCCCATGTAGAACAGGGTTAATAAGTATATCAATATTTTACACTTGCTTAGGCTCAGTATTGCTATTGAAAACTTACGAAAATTGAAAATATCCAATAACGCCCAATCTAGATATCGAACCCTTGACATGACCTCAACCTTGAACGATAGCTGAGTTTGCGAACATTCGACGAACGAAAAACGTCGAAATATATATATCGATTTACACTACATGAAATATTGATGATTATAGGTAGGTAATCTGTAAGCATCTTGTGCCAACCACCAAGAAAAAGTACGAAGAGGTAATTGGCCTAACATAAAAAGGTAAACAACTCACAAGTTACAGATTTAGCGAAAATTAAAACGAATAGCCAATGTGAGTGCACCCTTACCCGCGCTCTAGCAGGGCCCACAGCGTTTGAATTAAGAATGACTCGCCGGCAATTTGTCAAAGTCCCGGAGTGACGAGTGACGCGTGACTCGTGACGGCTCATTCAATAGAATGACGCGTAGTTTGCAACGACGTGCTCTTTAACACGTTATATCTTAAATAGTTTTGAAATAGGCAGAATTAGAAGGTTTTTCATCATATCAGTCATCAGTCATAAGATGTTTTACTGCCGAAGATCAAGATTTGTCATCATCATCACAGCCTATAAATGCCCACTGCTGAGCGAAGCCTCTTCTCACACGGAGAAGGTTTGAGCATTAATCACCACGCTTTGTCAATCCGGGTTGCCGATTACAAACTTATAATTAGAAATTATAAGTTCAGGTTTCCTCAAGATGTTTTCCTTCACCGTTTGTAAGTGATGTCTAGATAATATTGGAAAGTACATGTAACTCGGAAAAAGTCACATTGGTACTTGCCGTTTATAGGTTTCAAACTCATATCCTCATGTATGAGAAATGGGCGTCTTAAACCTACGGGCCACCACGACAGTTCAGACTTCAAGATTTCTTTGTTGAAATTAATCTGCTTCTGTCGATATTAAAGTGGCTTCCTGAGACATTTAGTTACGAGAAAAATAGGTAAACTATCTACTTAATTCCAAGAGTAAAAAACAAGATAGCCGACTATTCTTTACCTAGGTTAAGGATAGCGCTACACTGCGCTGCGGGCGTACAAATTCTAAACTTTTAGTAGTCGTGAATTTATTATGAAAATTATGTCCAACACAGCACTCAGAGTTTGCTTTCTTTATGATATAACATAACATAACTTCACGCCTTTTATAGAAGTTGAGAATTGGTAGGCAGAGGTCAAACTCAAACTCAAAGTCTTTATTTGCATATTAAGGTAATACATACAGGTCTCAAATGAAATAACAGGCAAACCTTAACGGCCTTTTTCAGGCGTTGCAAATTTTAGGGCTATGGAGGTGCACATTACGGCATTTAATGCCACTGTACAATGTAACACCTAGTTTTCACTATTTATGTTATGAGTCCCATGTAATAGGGATAAAGCCTATTGCCATATACCGGGCACATTTTTAGACTCTGTGCTACTACTGAGATTTTTTGAAAAACCCAGTAATACTTCGCCTTACCCGGAAATCGTACCCGAGAGTTGCACTGGCGACCACTCGGCTGACGAAGCAGATTTTTATGATTTATACCCACTTAAATAGGCAGGATAGTAACAACAATTGTTAAAAATAAAAAAAAACATGTTATTAAAACTTCAGAACCCATACGTTTCCCACATTTCACACCACATGACAATATCTTTGACATTTACGATGACGTAATACAAGGGTTGCTGTAAAACTACGCCTGAGAAAATGTGGGACTTTAAAATCACTGCGGCGAGAAAGGGTTACACCTCAACGGCCCAAAATAACCACAGACCCTTCAACTTGTTTGTTATTTACGCAAAATCTTTTTCATGTAATTTAAAATATGTTTTAAGAAGTAGATAGGAACAAAATAAAACATTAATTTGTATAATTTTTTGTTGAAAATGTTTTTTGTTGTGACCACTATTTCTCTCGACATTTCATTATTACCTTTCCTATATTTAAAGTTCTTTCCTTATATCATTTTTATGGCATAAGCCGGTAAACGAGCAGACGGATCACCTGACGGAAAGCAAACGGCGTCGCCCATGGACACCTGGAACACCAGAGGCTTTACAAGTACGTTATCGGCCATTTGGGGATTAGGAGTTTGAGGATCGTTGGGGATTCAGGGATTGGGGAGATTGGGAAAGGGGAGGGTAATTGGGCCTCCGGTTAACCTCACTCACACGACGAAACACAACGCAAGCGTTGCTTCACGTCGGTTTTCTGTGAGGCCGTGGTATCACTCCGGTCGAGCCGGCGCATTTGTGTCGAAGCATGGCTCTCCCACACTTATAATCCCATATATAAATAAACGTTAACGTATAAACTTACCATTAAGTTAATATCCTAACAAACAGCCAGAAACTTTAATTAATCCACTCAAAGCCAGCTCCGAGTGACATTAAACAAAATATTGTATTCCAGAACCACTCTAAACTAAACCAAATCAACTTTAAAATTAAACAAGATAAGGTTCAAAATCTAAAAAACAATTGACATAAAACAGTTTCAAAGAGTAATAACTTTTACAATAGACGGTATGGCTAATAACTTTTGAACTATTCCAGTAAGTACCGTGGAATGGTTGGGTTGAGAGTCGTGGAGAGTCACTTCCTCTCTTAACCGGCTGTATAAAAGTGATAAAACCCGGACGCAGGGTAGAGGGTACTTTAAGCACTATTAGGTTACCGGGAGCGTGCTTATCTGACATGCCAGTAGCCTACATCTAGAATAATCTAGATCATACGTTGAGCAGTATGCTTATGTTATGTTTGTGGGTTCATATTTTACGTTGTGAGTACATTTGATCTTAATATCTCATCAAAATTCAGTATTATCTTGTCCAATACTATATAGCGAACGAACATTCTTGTATAACTATATTTTGCAGTATACACGGTGTTTTGAAAAATCGTTTCGCATCTATAATTGGGATGATGACAGAGTATGAAAATTAAAAATCGAATTAGTCCGTAAGTTAGGTAATTGAAAAATATTAGACGTATTTTTTTATTTTGTCGTATAATAAAACAATACTTAGATAAAACAAATAAAAGTTTAGGAGTGGGGGCTAAAACGTCATTTCTACGTATAAAATGTACATAGAAGTGACGTCACACGACATTTCAAATTAATATGTCGTAGAAACTATTCGTTTCTGTAACGTTCTTTACCAAAGTTATCAAAATGAATCTATTCTCACACTTTAATCGGATCAAATTATAACTAAACAGAAATATTACCCACACAGAATCTTACAACACGCTCATGTAATACATTAAAACGAATGTTATATAAAACATCCTGTAAAGCGAGTTAATCTGTCTGCAGATTTCCCCCGGGAACCGAACCCGTACCAAGTAGAACAATGCCTCAAATGTCACGGCGTATTGTTACTCAAGTCGTTTTGATATCCGAGATTATCCACCCTCCATGCTTGAGATAAACCCGTCAGGTAGAACTGTAGAGGATTCGATGAATTGTCGTCAACCCAAAATATCCATAAAAACGTAATCCTTTTCTCGAAGTCGGTTAAAAATAAACTAAACTGCAATACTAAAAGTCAACTCGTCGTTAACAAAAGTCAACTAAAATTTATAGTATTAAAAATACAAACAGTTGTGCAATATGGATGATGACAGGGTATGAAAATTAAAAATCTAATTGGTCCGTCAGTCAGGTAATGAAAAAATATTAGATACTTATTTTTGTCGTATAAGAAAACAATATCTAGATAAAACGAATCAAAGTTTAGGAGTGGGACCTAGCTACGTCATTTTAGAGTATAAATCGTACTCAAAAGTGACATCATACGATATTTCAAATCAATATATTTCCAAACTACATGTTTCCGTAAGAAAATAAAAAAAAATCCTTTTAAATAATATACCAGACGGACATTAGATTAAAAAGTAGTCATCTACCCATTCTTTCAAAGGTCCTCGTATTTTTCTGCTCATCTCTACAAAATCCCACATAAATACATACAATATGCACAAAACGAACCACAAATCCGTCACAACATCCGAGGCATGCAATATTATCAAAGTGTGACATCTCGGGAAATTCTTTAACGTGACGATGTAGAAAGGGTTCCTATGTCACACCCGCGGCGTTTTACAATATGGCGGAGTTTCTCGCATTTTTTCCAACAAACCCTTTTGATTCCCCATATAGATTGTATGGCCTTG